TGCTCTATCCAGATTATATTATAGAGATCAGTGAGTCCAAGCAGAGTACGTGAATCACCTTGTGATTGACGTGCTCTCATCGCAAACCCGCACCAAATTTTAAGATCGCCAAATCCGCATGCGCATGCAGTCCAAGCAGAGTAGGTACGTGAATCACCTTGTGATTGACGTGCTCTCATCGCAAACCCGCACCAAATTTTAAGATCGCCAAATCCGCATGCGCAGTCCAATCACAGCATGTGAATCACCTGCTACCGCAACGGGAGGTGTGTGCGCGCGTGTGTACAACTGTACATGTATGTATGTATGTGTGTGTGTGTGTGTGTGTGTGTGTGTGTGTGTGTGTGTGTGTGTGTGTGTGTGTGTGTGTGTGTGTGTGTGTGTGTGTATGCGTGCATGTGACTGTACGCATGCGTGTATTATGTGATTGTCCGTGCGTGCTCGTGTGTTTATGTGTGTGTACGCGTGTGCTCGCGTCCAAAATTAAATAAATTTAATTACATCATGGAATAATCAACATGTATATAACAACAGATATCTTCTGTACCGCATACAATTATAACTGTAAGCACCGTCATACAATTAGCCCAGTATCGACCACGATGTATGTGGGTTTTATTGTGCATTGATAATCATTAAAATGATATATCCGTAAGTAATAATCCGGTGTAGCGTGGTATACATCCTCTATAGCAAACGTCCTCCCTTTATATTGCACATGGAAAATGGAGGCATAATCCTCATGCCCATGCGCCATGCGCCCTGATAGACATACCCATGCCCGTGCCCATGCTCATGCGCAATGCAGAAGGGGAACGTTTGCCAGAGGGGGAATGTACACCATGCTACACCGGTCATTTTTGAAAGGCGGCCATGACAGATTTGAACATGAGAATTCCGCTCTGCATACATTTTATCAGATTACCAATACCAATCGAAGAAAAGCCATACTATTCCCTAATGTTATTACTACGCATAGACATATTATTACACTATAACTGATCGCATAACATAATTTAGTACCGTCAATGAACTTTGATGAGTGATCACCACTATTGATCAGTTATAGTATTAAGAACCGGCCATTGATATAATGACGATGACACAAGCTCTAGTGTCGATTATCTAATGTTATATGATATATAGACATGTTCTAATGCAGATTTTCTCTTCACGAGCCATTGGTACTATAACGGTAATACCGTAAGTTATTAACACATCTCGCTCTAATTCGTAGTTAGAGCAACACTGGGTAATACATACATACGCGTATAGATATGCTTCATATAGGAAAAGGCACCGTTTAACGACCGATATCTACTACTGCACTGACACATGCTTACTTCTAACACACGTTATCTAATATGTAATACATCTTTGTATAATAAATCTCTAGATTTCACAAATATCCGTCACTAATAAACAGATTGCTCTGATAATCTATTCTGAATCTAAGCGAGCATCGCTCTAGATCTCTCTCTCTCTCTCTCTCTCTCTCTCTCTCTCTCTCTCTCTCTCTCTCTCTCTC